ATTTGAATAATACATAATAGTCCTGGCTAGGGCTGCAACTAAAGATTGTTTTCATAGTTGTTTAATCTAACGATTATTTTTTCAATTAATTGATTATTAATTTAGTCTAGAAAATAAATAACAGCAAATGCCATCACAAGTTACCAGTCCAAAGTGAGGTCTTACATTTGCTTGCTTTATCTGACAAGCAATAAAAGTATTCTAAACAAAGTATTCATTTTATAATGATTCATGAACCAAACATTTGAAATGTGAAGCATCAAGCAGCAAATGTTGTTGATAAATTACCTAAACGATGAATCAATTAGAAAATGTGATTCAATTAATTTTCTGTCGATCGACTTATCGTTGCAGCCCTAGTCCTGTCATAGCCACATGAGCCATTTGGATTTCAACAAATAACGTAAAGTATAATTCAGGATGGACTGAGCAACGGAAGAGAATAACTGCTAATAGTTGTTGTTTTTTGCATGGGTCTCACACATACAAGACTTAAACAGTCTCGTATGTGTGTGTAACATTCATAGATTAACTTTCAAAATAAAAGTTGTTGGGCCAGACTACACTGGAAGAGCACTCGAAGCCCTGCGTGACCACAGCTAAGTGGAGTGCCTTTAGTCTGAGCAACTTGTTGAAAAGATTCTGTTACTCTCTACTGGGGATCCTTAACAAGCACTCACACTATCATCTTACTGTCACTGGATAGCACTACCTTCAATAAAACCCACACACACACACACACACACACACACACACACATACACACACGCACGCCGGCCCGCACAAACACACATGCAAACATGAAGCTATATACGTCGGTAAGAGCAATGGTGTGGAGGACACATGACAAGCTCTCACAACACACAGTAAAAAAAAAACACAGTATCTGTGTCATGAGAACCTCTCAAATTAACACCAGGCCTTGGTTTTCTGCTTTCTTCCTTTTTTTTTCTTTCTTTCAATTGCGTTCAACTCGCTAGCTAGGATGCTGTGTGTAGGGTAGCAAGTGTTTTCCGCCAGTGTGTGTAAATACTGTCACCTCTGAGACACGGCCGCGGATGAAATCATAATTTGCCACAAAGGGAACAGGACATGAGTGATGTGCGTTCACCTACAGCCTGCCCTGGCCCAGTTATACGACCACAAAAGGCAGATGAGAAAAGGGTGTGCATGTGTGTGTGTGTGTGTGTGTGTTTGAGTGAGGGTCGCAGAGGGGACGGGTTTGTCGTATGGAAGTGAAGGAGAGCTACAAAAGGAGATCGAGGGAAAAAAATGTGGTGGGCAGTTGAGGGGGTGGCGGAGGGGTGTGTGGGAGGTGGGCGGCAATGAATAGAAATTGTGATTGCTGTTGGGACAGGTGAGAGCGTGTAGGCATTGGCAGCTGACAAAACACCATCGCCGCCGCCACCACTGTCGTCGTCTCCACCCCCCCCCCATAACCAACTCCACCCCCCGGGCCCCATAATCACCTCCACCCACCACCGCAACAAGCGATCTCACACCACAAACACAACAGCTACCGTTAAACACCAGAGGCACAGGAGGGGGGAGACAGAGAGAGAGACAAAGACATAGAGAGAGAGAGAGAGAGACAGCGAGAACGAGAGAGACAGCGAGAACGAGAGAGAGAGAGAGAGAACCAGTATAGAGAGGAGAATGAATTAGAAATGAAAGGACAGTACGGGAAAAAATGTTCATCAGTATATGCAACATGAACTAGAAGCAAAGCTTTACTGACCAAATAAGAAGTATTAACTTCTATACATTATAGACATTGGTTAGTTCATTTTAACACGTTTCCTCTAATTCATAAAAACACTTCCAAGTAACATTCCATTACAATCTCAATACAATGTTACGACAAGGATATAACCCTGGGAGGCAGGTGGGAGTTATTCCAGGTGGTCATTGCAGAAGACTAACCTGCACGCTCTCGTCTGCCCTCTGGGTGCAATGCATCATGGTGGTGAAGGTGAGTGTGGTGATGAGGCCGCCCAGGAAGTGTTGAATGCTCATGCTCAGGACCGCCATACCTAGAGGTCAGGGTGGAGACACACCGATATCAAAAAACAAACACACAAGCATCCAAGAATCTGATCCCGCCAGGCATACAGTACATCAACAGGTATACATGCATCACGTCTTACAGGGCTTGTACATCAGAATGCATCATGAGATATGTTGCTGCTGATACTCTCTACCCGTATTGAGAGGACTCAAGAGAGTTGTAGTACTGTAAAATCAGAAATCAACATAAATATACCATAACCTAGGCTAATGCTACGTCTCGCATGATAAACGCTGTGGCAGTTTCAAACACAACAATGTCTGACCATAATGACAAATCATTTCACGATTAATTAGTAAACAATTACCAAAAAACATGACTACCAACACAATAACTAGCATTCCAAAGCTCCTATGCTTCCAAAATGGAGGCCGTCATTGGGATGTGATGCCGCGATGTACAAGCGCTACAGAGGGGGGGGGAAGCTACTAAATAGTCAGGAAGAGAACGAGTCGAGAACGTTACTCGGTAGCGCTTTACTGTAGTCTGTTTGGAGATCCGATTCAGGAGACAAAAGCGGGCAGAGATGCTAAGCTGCTGAAGTGTCTCCGATTGCCTCCACGCCCACCCCCCCTACCCTTCTTAAAAAAAAAGAAACCACTTCCCAGTCTATTCTCTGAGGGGAGGCGGCAGAGGCGCTGTGAGCCGGGGAACACAAGAGGAAACCACAGAGTCTATCAGGCCCTGCTTGTGCTGCCGCTGAATTATTCACCCCAGCCGTCGGAGTCGTCCCGCCGACGTAAGTAAGACTTTGTGTCGCGCGGCGGCAACGCAGAACACGCCGGCACAGACGGTGCACGCCAAACAAGAAGAGGGAGCGCCGCGTATGTCATGTAATATTGAAACCATTTGAAACAGGATTTTTGGATGTATATATATATAAAAAAACATGTTTCGTCGGCGCATCTGCGCTGTGGTTTCAAAAGAGTTTGAAAAAAAAAGGATGAAGGTGGAGGGCCTCAGTGTTACAGACTGAAAGGCTTTTGACAGACAGACGACTCCAGCTGAGATGATCGACATGGATCCGACTCTGATGCCCGTTCTCCGCCAAAGAGTATCCGACGCGTCTCCCAGAGACAACAGAACCTCTCTCTGGAGAAGAAACTGTTAAGGGTCCATCTAGCACTACGTCTTCTAACGTCTTCTGCACCAGAAACGACTTCAGAGCGCCGTCTCCTGACGGCGCTCTGAAGGTGCTTGCACACTGCCCAACACGCACCAACACCCAACTACAGAAGTCGGCCAACACCGATTCGACATGTTCGCCAACAAAAAAACTGCCAACAACCTCCAACGGGTATGGCGCACTGGCCCGATGTTGGTGTTTGTTGTAGTAGTGTAAAAGCCACGGAGACACAGGAAAATACAAGCCCGCCACAAACCAAACCAAAAAGCTTTTATTTTAGGCTGCCAGAGGAATTAGCAGATGCCGAAAGGCTTCATTTATTCCACTGAAGCGTACTTCTCCAGACCCTCCAGGCTACTTACCAAACTACCTGGTCTGGTAGTTAACCACACGACTAGAGTGCTACTCGCTGTTATTACCCAACCCTAACCTTCAATACATTTTCCATTACCCAGAGTGGACTCACTATGCAAACCTATTCCTGCTGAACCAAGACATTTACGTGGCTACTTATAGTATACTAGCACGTAACGACACTAAATCAGGAAAAATATGAGAGGGACTTTGTCACTGCAATGTGGAACTAGATCTGTATGTTACTTATAATTTATGACTTTATGTGGTGTGACCGTTGCCACGGGTCAAAGACGGGTCAACGCGTCACCAATAGCGAGACAAAACTAGTTTGATTCATGTGTTGAGTAAACCCCCGATGGATAGTTAGTTTGCTTCTCATGTTGTACGTAGTAAAACAAAAAGGAAAGAAAAGGAAAAAAAAGACTTTCAAGAACAAACTTGATAATCGATTTTTCCAAGATCAGCATGTCAGTGTGTGAGTGTCAGTCCTCACCTTTCATGAGTGGGGAGGGCTCCAGCACAGTGAGCAGGGAACTCTGGAACACCATGCTGATGGTCCGCAGCACAAACACGCGCCGCATCATTGCGCCGATGCTGCGGGAACACAGAGGGGGGAGACGAGAGGCCTTCGCTGTCAGCACGAAGCCGAAGCGCTGTGTGACTGGATGTATTTATGAGCCATGGTGAGCATGTCAACCTTGTTTTAAGGGTAACGTGAGACATCGTGCAACCAGAACGAACGTAGGCTCCAAACACAAGCACTCACGAGAGCAAATATGTTCATTATTTTATAGGGGCCCACTGTTTGCATATGGATGTGTGGAGAAACACACGCGCGCACGCATTTATAAACACTCACACACTGCAGGCATACACGCAGGCATACACACACAAAGGCAGCACGCACGTGCGCACACACACACACACACAGTAAAGTAAACAAGTCCCCAGACACTAATTGACTCTCAGTTAGTGGTGGAGAATCGCTCCCCTGTGAGCTCAGCTCATGGTAATCAATAAGCTAAGGAGATCCACAGCATGATGAAGATAAGTAATCAGTGGTTAACACACGCACACACAAACATATATACACGCACACACACGTGACATTAGGGATTAACACACTGCCAATCACTGTTAAAAGGAAGCCTGCCAATCATTACGATTGAATATTTGTGAGTGGGTACGTGTGTGTGTTTGTCAGCATGTGTCAGGGCCATTGCATTTGTTATTCGGAGCGCATTTCAAAAGCAAAATAATCGTATACAGTTTGCATAAGGCATGACTCTTACATTTTATTATCCACAATTTATGTCCCATTTTGTATAAATTAAAAAAATGACTAGGGCTACAACGATGAGTCGATTAATCGATTAGTTGATTGACAGAAAATATATCTAATAAAATTTTTATAATCGATTAATCGTTTAGGTCATTTATCAAGCACATGGCCCTGACTAGCACCGGTAGAGCATGGCATTAACGTTGCCAGGGTTAGGGGTTCGATTCCCACTGGGACCACCCATGCTAAAAATGTATGCTCATGATACTCATGATATTGTAAGACGCTTTGGATAAAAGCGTCCACCAAATGGCGTATAATATATTATATTAAGTCCAAATACCAAACATTTGGTTAATGGATAATTATCAAATTAATGCTTTAGTTTTTCTTGGCTACTTGTCAGATAAAGCAAGCACATTAAAGACATCGCTTTGGAATCTGGTAACTTGTGATGGCATTTGCTATTATTTATGACATTTTCTAGACTAAATGATTAATCTGAAAAAATATTGTTAAATTAATTGACTATTAAAATACTCATTAGTTGCAGCCCTAAAATGACAACTACATTTCTCCAATGACTTCTTCCTCTTCCATGGGGACAGTCTCTGCTCCTGGTGCCGTAGCTGCTACCAGGAGCCCAATCTGGACTAAGAGAATCAACCCTGCAGCATTCACATGCTAAAGACATTCTCGTCTCTCTGGCTACTTTACCTTTGTTCTCAATGACAGCCATTCATTTCACACTCTCTCAGGAGATTCTGAGGTGTGCATGTCACTGAATGTGCGTTTAAGTGCGTGCGTGCGTGAGTAGTGTGTGTGTGTGTGTGTGTGAGTGAGTGAGTGAGTGAGGGTGAACCTGCCTAACTACCACCTCACATGGGCCAGGTCCAGATAAGAATACCTATGTTCTCAGGTTGCTGATGGCGCTCTGGTGTAAAGGGGAGTGGTGGGGGCTCATTGGCTCAGTGGCCACTCAGCCGGCTGGTTTGATCCACGGGCCTGCGTGTCTGTGTGTGTGTGTGTGTGTGTGTGTGTGTGTGTGTGTGTGTGTGTGTGCGCACGTGCATGCGTGAGGACACTAGAAGCATACAGTTCAGTTTCCCACAGAATCCCTAACTCTGCCTTTCTCTCTCGCTCTCTCCATTCTGTCTGCTTCTAACTCTTTCGTTCTCTCGCTCTCTCTCCCCCTTTACCAGCACTTCAGAATGTCAGCTCAGTACTCTCTCTTCGTCAATGTGGAAACATGTGACAAATACTCCCAAGTGCTTGACATAAGAGGAGGGAAAAGACATTTCCATGAAAACAAAAAGTGCCATCTGTGCGACAGACAGAGAGGGGAAAAGGCTGGGGTGCAGGCATAACTCAACGTAAAGGACAACATTACTGAAATGTGACGGGACACTTGGGCACGCACACACACACATACACACACACAAACACACTTGATTTAACCCTCTTCAATTTGTTAATTATTGAATGCAATGATGCAAACGTTACTCTGATCCGGCTTCACTTTTTACTTGATCGTAAACAGACATTAAACATGTGGTTAAACATAAATGTACTTCATCTACTTCACATAGAATTATGTAGCACTTGTGGGGCACCATTTTAAACATAAACCCTCAAAGCTCCCAGACTGAGAACCCCAGCGCGTAAGGGATGACTGAGGGTGTTTTCACATCAGGGGCCCGGATCCGAGTACACTTGACCCCAAAGTCCAGTTTGTTTGATTAGTGTGAACACTGTGTCACGGAGCAACGAACCATGCCCGAGTCCATTTGAAAAGGTGGTCTCGAGTATGGTTCATGTGTACTCGGGTACGGTTCGCATCAGGTGTAAAAACTACTGTACCAAAACATAGAAGTGGACTGCTATTTAATTGGTACGCGCCAATCCCATCCTCTGAACTGCACGGCCATAGCAGATAAAGAAGGAAGGCAGGCGAGAGGGCCATTGTTGACATTGTCTCCAAAATATCAATAATAGTAGGCATAGTGCAAAGGTCGACTCCATTGTATCGGCTTGGGATCTTGAGATTGGCGGGCTTTTCTACACTGGAGTGACAACATAAACAAATGTTGCATAGTTGACCACACAAGCATACTCTTCTTCTTCTTCTTCTTCTTCTGCTTCTTCTTTTTCTTCTTCTTTGTGTTTATTGGCAGCTTGCAAACCAACTAGGTGCATACCGCCACCTACTGTATCGGAGGGTGTAGAAGTGTACTCAGGTATGGAACAACATTACTAAACGTGAAAACTAAGTGGCAGGGGAGTGGGGAGGGGGAGCAATCGTACTCAGGCGTGGTACGAAGCGATCGTACCTCGTATGAAAACGCCCTGATAGCCATAATAGATGATGGATAGCGCTGTGTAAGAGAATATGCAGTGTGGAACTGACACACTTCCCACCATAGTGGCTTTATAGACATGTTCATGTACACATTGTGTTACATCACACTGCCCCGAGGTGAGGTAGATGCTATAATATTATAATGGTGGGGGCCGATGGATTTATTGTTTGTTACGCAGCACAAACAAGCATCTGTCATTGTGTTATTCTAATATAGGTATCCTTCAAGCACAATACTGCGGGTCTTCAGAGGTCTCAAGATTACGTATTAAAGTGTATTGTATGCCTTAGAACCTCTCAGCCTAAACGTAATACTTGTTCACTGCTCTTAAAGGACTACATGTTGGATTTTTAAGTTGCCAATATATGAACAGGTTGTAATTTAACTTTAAAAATGAGACATTTCCCGACTCTCTCCGTTGCGTAAAACAGCCTGTGGGCTGATTTGTTTTATATTTGAAACCGGCCGGTTTTGCCAGGAAAAGGGAAGGAAGTGACGTCTAAGCGCAGATAATGGCGAAAATGTCTGTTCTTTAGGGCTGCCCCCTAATAGTCGACCAACCCTTAGTCGATCGACAGGCTTAGTCGAATAAGTTTTCATTGGTCGCGCAAAAAGTAAAACATAAAAATAACACACCATAAGCATCGCAACCGAATACATCCGTGGTCATAACAAACCCTGATTTAACTCATCGCTGCATCTTGCATCGCTGCAGAAATATTGACCAAACGATGGCTCTATAGAGGGGAGTGCTGCTGCCCGACCGTCTCCTCGGTAGGTGTACACTTGGGCAGGTATACACCTAGGTAGGTAGACACCGCTAGACACGCAGGACTAATACCGGTGATCGCATCTTTATTTCCCCATGTCTGATCGCTGTAATTCAGAGCGTGAATATCGGTTGAATATCTAATATCTTAACTTTTGTATTTTTTTATACAAGACGATAGACGATATTAACATTAACCGCTCACCCAAATATTAGAATAAAGTGCTGCCCAGGCTGGAGCATGCGGGCTGTTGTTTGTGGCAGTGCCAGCTAGACTTTGAAAGCATTAGACACGTTTTTTCTTTTGTTTTTCAGGCCAATGTGAGTAAAAAACTCATAAATATACCAAATGACGTTCAATCGTCAATGAGTACAGCCCTTAACATACATAGTTTATTATAGTTTATTTATATCTTCGAGGATGTACCGGAGATATTTTCAAGTGCCATATTTGCAACAACAGAATTAAAAGGTCCAGCTGACCATTTTTTTTGCCACTAAAGATTTGTTCCCTTTTAGTCTCAAAGGTGAAAGCCTCGCCACAATGCCAATGACGCCAATGCTGAGTGAGTGGAGACATGGAGACGCGGGGGGGAAGGAGAGGATGTCGGTTACCTGCACTGTGCGAGCAGCACGCCTCCGAGGGAGGAGCCGCAGATGGAGAACGCCATGGCGATGACACCATTCCAGAAGCCCAGCTCCCTGGCCGTCATGTGGTGGTCCAGCAGGAATAGGGGGAACATGGTGACTGCTCCCTGCTCGCCTGGGCAAGACACACACACACAAACACACACAAAGGCATGCACGCATATGCACATGCACATGCACACGCACACACACACAGGAAAAGGAGGGAGAAACAGGGTGTTAGAAACATCTTATTCACAAGCCATGTCAGACAGCTGAGACACAGACACAGACTGAGACACAGTGTTTTTTTATGTTATGTCAAATTTTGTTGTCTCAAATGGGGATACATAATTATACATCAACACTTGCAAATTATTAGTTGGTGTACCGATAACTGATAAATATGCATCAGCATTTCAGTTGAACCTAAAGTTAATCATTGGTAATAACAGTGTAAAATAACTTTTGAATTCCATACAGTAGTTGAAAACGTGCAGTGCAAACGGTCAAGGAGTCTGGAGATGCATCATGGGGCATGTCTAGACTGCCTAAGAGAACATTGTAGGTTCATATACAAAACAATACAAAACCAGGCGATTCCCATCGCCGTCGACGACGTCAAACGACTTCTCACTGGGCCATTCACTCATCAGCAAGACTAGAAGATGTGCTCATCCTCCTCAGATCTCCTTGCTTGTAGAATTAAAGGAAAGGCACGGCGAAGAGCAACACACCTGTCTTTTGTTTTTCCTGAAAGGTCTCAATAATGTATGCCTGACAAGAACGGGGCCCTCCAGTTAAAAAACACAACAAGGAAAACACCAAAATAAATAAATTAATAAATCCAGAGATTAAACGTGCCTCCCAAAGACCTCTCAGTCAAAAAAATAACACAGTGTCTGTCACACAGTACAGCTCTCTCTCTACGTGTGGTGTTGGTAATTTTTTCGCTGAACAATACAGTAAAATATTCTGTGTGGCTGCATTATTATATTAATGGAGGCTGACTTCAGAAAGATCGCAGGGCCTCGCGGAGCAGCGTGAGTGACAGCTCTGTTCAGAGACCGCTGTCAAAGAAGACACAACACAGACGACAACTCGCTCGCTTGCTCGTAGGCTCGCTCAGTCAGCGAGGAGACAAACAAAAATAGAGAAAGGAAAAGAAAGCAAAAAGGGAATAGAGATTAAACAGAGATTGAGATGAGGGATGAGAGAGAGAGACAGAGAGAGAGAGAGAGAGAGAGAGAGAGAGAGAGAGAGAGAGAGAGAGAGAGAGAGGGGGATAGAGACAGCATCAAAGTGGGAGCTGAACGGCTTTGAGTGATATTGAGTGCAGATAGAAAAATAGAAAAGTGTCACTCGTTCCGATGAAGGTGCGACGACCCCGCCAAACATGCGGTGGGAGGTTCAGATGTGAGCTGTGGTTGTACGTGCGTTCATCAGACATTTCTCTTCATCTACTGAGCACTTCTTCTTTGAT